ATCGGACACGTGACTATACGTTCGTTGAACGTTATTTAGATCCGCCATTATCGGTGTAGTTGTTGTTTTCAAGCGGGAAAACTATATTTTGTGAACCTTTTAGTTTCTTTTACAACAATAAATTACATAATCTAACAACGACAATTTTTGCTAAACCCTGGTCAGCAATTCTCAACCCGGGCTGACCCGAGTAATATTCCGAGCAACAGACTGGAGCAGAGTGTATTTTTGGCGCTTATATCCCTTATAGACCTCATACGATTATATCGTTTTCTTCCTTTTTTGATAGCTCCTCGCTATCTTGTACTGGAAAATCTACTGGACCAAAATATTCGGCATCGAACGCCAACGGCAGACCTTCGCGCAACTTTGAATACATTGCGACAACATCGGAGTTAGAATCTACATTTTTATAATCCATCTCCGTCTTATAATCCTTCAGAGAAAGGATCATGTGATCAATAATTTCAGACCACCACTGAAACGTGGGTTGGGCATTTTTTCTTTTGGTTTTGGACCGTTTTTACTCGACATACTGGTAACTGTATGATTTTATATGTCTGTACTAAACAGAGACGGAGAAAATACGCACGCAAAATGTTGAAATGCAAAGTTCACAATCATGAATTCACCGCACTTTACATGATCCCGGGTCAAGCCAACTCGGCTTTACATGAAGAAATGAGTGAAATTTTCACGCGTTCACACCTCGCCAACCCGGGTCGACTCGGGTCTCGAGAAGGTTGCCCCGGGTTGGCGAGGTGTGAAAGATTGACCCGGCTATCGTGTGAACGCTAATAGAGATTTATTCGTAGACGGATTGACCCTGGCTGGCAAGCCAACCCGGGTTGATAGTCAACCCGGGCTCGTGTAAAGGGGGCCAAGTCTATTAACTGTGGTTTCATACGACGTCGATCGTCGTGTTGAACCAAATGCGTAAATTATGTCAATTAACGTTTGTTTCTGATCCCTGGCTGTCCGAACCTGTCGCTATATTGATTCGTACGCCGCTCCACTCATGTGCCAAACCTAACATATATGTATCCTTTTATCTCCAGGACGTGAGGCAATGGACGATTTTTATATTGTTGACATGCATGCCAATCTTCGGCGTTGTTTGGACTTTTGATTTTGTTCCATTCAAGTTTCAGGACAGTAAGTACACTTTTATACGCCACAAATTTTCGCCCATGAGGATTTGCCATTTTTATAATAGCAGTGCAATTGCGAACACGACTTGTCGACAGCTTGTGAACAGATTCGCAACAACTTGTGTACAGACCTTACAGGCCCTGTTACACGGTGCAATTTTTCATGCAACTTGTCTCGCAATGGCGTTGCGAGACAAGTTGCACGAGTCATTGCACCGTTTAACATGCCTTGCAATGGTCAAAATCTTTGCGAGACAAGTTGCATGAAGCATTGCACAGAGTAGAAGTCGGTTCTACTTTTGGCAACGATTGCACTAATTATTTTTAGCATTGCAGCGTGCAACATGGCTTCGTGCAACTTGTCTCGCAATGTTTATAGCTTGGAGAGTTCCTATTGGCTCTCCCCAGTACACGCTTTACTTTAATTAAAATTTGGCGCCAAATAGCGCCTCTCCTTAGTCTCTTCGCATGCCTCTGTCCCCTATCGTTGCGAGTTGCATGAAAATCATTGCAGCGTGTAACACCTCTTGCAATGCACTATCAAAATCTTTTTTTAAACATTGCGAGACAAGTTGCATGAAAAATTGCACCGTGTAACAAGGCCTTAACAATTTGTGCGTTTTTACGTGTGTACTTTAAGTCCGATTCACACTAGTAATTTTGTCGGCGACTTTGTGTTTTTGACGGATGCAAATGAGTGAACTCGCACAGAAAACTACGAAAGTATAGAGTCGCTTTTCAGAAGTAAACCGCAATTCACTCTTTTGCATGTCGTTCATTCGCTCACATTTACCAGAAGAAGAAGAATCCTCGACAGAACAGACCTTCCCTATTATTCTCTAGTTTACCCGATGGCCTCGTTTCCATTTTTGTAACTGTACATATAATCATATAATTGGACGCCGGAAGGTGCCTTGCATGGGAACTTTTCAAAGAGTCCCGTTCGTACCTTGCCGTTTTGGATCTAGCTTTCAAATGTGTTGATCCATATACTGATCCAAATAAATTTGTTAAATAAAAAAAATAAAAATTTTAACTTATTTTAGCATGTCAGGGGCAGGTAAAAATAATATTCCCATGTTTTCCTCGACGAATTTGTTTCTTGCTGTTCTCGGCTAAATTACAATTAACGTAATTTTCAACCCTACTAAGCACAAAACATGAGTAAGTATTTGATACGAAAACGAAGTCATTGGTGAAAAGTGAATAAACAGTAAGGTCTATTGCCATATGAACCAGGTTATAGTGTACTCATGATAAAACTACACTAAATTTAAAAACTGCTATAAGTTAACATAATTTATTTTGGACCTTTCCAGTAAACCCACATTCCTAGTTTTGAGATTGTATTTCTCTGACGACGGTTCTAAAACATTCATGAAACAAATAAGTCCCAGGAGTTAATATAGAGAATAATTACAGCATCTCAGTAATTCTAGTAATTCTATCCATATAGATCCCTGCATTGATGCCGTACCACGCGTATTATCCTTTGAAGATCCCTCTGAGTTGGATTACTTCACATTTCCGAATACTTCTATTTTGATGACGTCAACAAAACATTACAAAGATGGATTTCACTCGATGATGTGGCAGTGGAAACCTGGGGACAAACTGAAATTAAATTGGAGGCAACGTTTGGGCGGTTCCCGTACTGGTATTAAATTTTGGATTTACCGCAACGAGAGCTCTGCTGCTAATCTCAGCGTGTCGCTTATAGATTCTAAGTTACACAACAAAGTTGTCATAAAGTTTAATTTTTCATTAAATTTCACTGGTTGGCGCGCGGCTTGGGTAGCACTGGGCGAAACAAAATCACTTCCAAAAAGACCCGGGTATGATCTAATCGTATTCACCGCTCCAGCACAGGAAATTCCTTCTCAAGTACTTTTCATGGATCTACTTTGCTTCCCCCACCACGTATTATTTCAATCACGTGATGAAATAATTCCACCTATCGACGGCGCCATTTACAGTATAAAAAACACGTGGCAACAGACTTACAGATGGAGCTTGGTAAACCCACCGGAAGTGAACGGAACTACACCATTATCAGCGAAGGAAATGCAACAATTGAATGAAACCTATTTGATTGAAAAACGACTCGTAAATTGGTTTGCAAACGAGCGTGTCCGGCCAACGGAGTTTCGAGGAAAAGTCTTGAAACGATGGGAATCGTTGGTTGTTTCTGGTTTCCAAAAGGCAAGACGTTATTTCAAAGAGCTTAATATAACTGTGAGTCAGGGTGGTGTCATTACAGGGTCCCCACTGTTTCTCAAACGATCTCAGTTCGGACATCGCTTAAAAAACACAACTGGCGGAAACAAGAAATTAGGAGCCGTCACGTTTCACGTATTACTTCCACTGACATTAGAGTATTACTTCTCTATAAAAGAAAGCACTATTCGTGATACTGTCCGAAGAGAACTAGCAAATATCAACAGCATTGTTAGAAGAGAATTTGCTGTGAAACGAATTACAAAGCAGGACTCGGAATACTCAGAATTCCTAGTTGCGGAGTTAAGAAAATTTAAATCGCCCTTAACGCATGCTCATTTTCGACGGAGTTTACATAACCTTAACCAAAGAAAACTTGCCACTATAATGTTGTTATTGGAGTATATCACGGATCAGGGATGGACACAGGGGAGTGCAATGGGATCACTGGATCACGCGATGAACAAAGTAGGGACCGGATTTATGAATTCAATGTTTCTTCTAAGACAGCAGCTTTCTAAAGCTGGAAAACTGGAGAAAATTTTGCATACTATGAAATGGTATAACGCTTTAGGCGAAATATATCAAGACAATTTTGAGTACAGTGGTACGACGGCTGACAGACTGCGCACAATCATTTTCTATCGCTTGGAAACTGTTTTAATGAACCCAGGAAGCACCGTTTATGAAAAACGAGTGAAGTTACGTGACATGGCTGCCTATGTCCGCTGGTGCAATAACGCTTTATTAGCACATCCAGCATTCCTGGCCATGTTTAAACCCGATCTATCCTGCTTTCACCACCTAGGTGTCTACGGATCCGCTTATACACCCGAAGCACTAACCATCTCATCCATGGTATGGTATCTTCTTGAAGGTACCTCATTTGCCCTAAGTACCAACTCGAAAGTGAATATCCGTGAAAGGCTACTATCGTACGAAAGGATGACGCCGCGATATTCTCTACCAAATTCAATCGGTGGTCGTTTCCCGAATTACTTTAAAGCGGCTTTAGTCTACATGCTTCCAGCCTATGCGTTTTTCTCGGTTCGTGCACGAAATTTAACCAACAGCGGAGAGTTGCAGAATGTTTTACCAGGCAACGACTCGGAAATTATAAGAGTGTTTTTACGGCTTTACGACCCAACAAATCCCAAAGTGTTACATTATTTAAGAAGAGAACCGTTGTATCGCACAGATGATTACATGTCTTCTATAGGTATAACCACTTCAATTCCAAGCAGTGAGCTCCATATATATATATCGCGTATAATTAACCAAGAAAATTCAAAATGGCCGATATATATATATATATATATATATATAT